ATGCGTCACACAGTAAACAAGTCTCTAGCATTTCGTCTCCAAGAAAATGCGACCGCCGCGACCAGGATAAAACCCGCGAATTTCCGATCAGAAGCCAAGCACTCTATTCACTGTTCCTCCGAGATCGACATCCCCACAGGTAGAGCATAACATAACATGAACGCAGGCAAGTTACGTCACTGCGTCTTCGCGACAAGTTTCTGTAAAGTGCCTCTCCGTGCTCTATATAGTGCGTGAGAGACAGCGCGGCTGCAAAGTGCTCGCGTACCTGAAAGCTCTGTGCTCCCAGCTGGCTCAGGTGTGGTGGTCCCTGCCGGCAGATGAGCCCGTGCGCAATTTTGGTCACGTGGTGACGACGACGCGTTGATCGGTGTGCCGATGTGGTCCCGACGCGGAGGAAGCTTAGCCGGTGCCGGCGTTTTCGATCAACGCAGCACTGCAGCCGCCTCGCACTGCCGGTGATGCACCGACCGCCGCCGAGACGATGCGCTCCTTGCTTCGTCGTCGTCTTCGTCTTCGAGACATGGCCGGCGCATGAACCTTGACGAGAAAGTGACAACGCAGACATCGCTGGTGAGAGATTCAAGTGCCCATCATTTTTAAACAGCTCTCATTCAACATGATGAGTGCCTGCACTTGCAGCTTTCATGGAGCACGAACAAATGCCTTTCATGGCAATGCTATCGGTGACCCTCACCAGCTCTCGCTTTAGAGTTGCCCCGTTAATTACCTTCATAAATAAGGCTTCTCATTAACTAACCTCTGTGCAGTTTGCAATGAATTGGAAATTATGAATTGCTTTTTTTTTCTGCCATGCCACTATTTTGCTTACTCCATAGAAAGTTCCTTGATATTCTTACTGGCAGGATGAGTTTAACATTTCCTTCACTTCCAACCTGCGGTCCTTTGAAGCCATTGAGTGTGGAGCAAGCTTGCTTGCTTGTTTCATCCTTTGTCGTGGCTTTCCCCCACTAAGGGGGATTGGCCAAGAAGCCGGCGGTTAATGTAAGTCAATACCTTAAGCTTCAATACCGTAAGTCAATACCTTAAGCCATCCTTTTTTTTTCTTCCCTTTTTCTTTCTTTTCCATCTCTATTAAGCGCTTCCTTTTTCTTTTCATCTATTTTTCTCTATTTATTCTTCTTATTTCATTGTTTTTAGTCCCTTTATTTCTCTCTATTTCCTCTTCTCTTCCTTTCTCTTTTTTACACTTCCCTCTCTACAATTTCCATCTTTCTTTTTCATGTGTTCATTTTCGTTTGCCACTCGCACGGCGGTGGGGCATAGCCGATTTCCATGGCGCATGCCAACCTGAGGAGTTTTGCTCAATGGAGCACAAGTTGGTTGGTTGGTTGGCTATTCCCATAGAGTTTCCTACAATATTGTATGATACTCCATGGTTGTTCCTTAGTGACCTGCGCAACCCACCATGAGAGATGAGCCATGAAACGGGCGGTGCCTTATTTTAGAGACAAATTTGTTTTACAATCCAAATACGTTTGAAAATGTGTGGTTTAAAAATATTACATTGGTAAAAACGAGGATACAAAGGAAAAAAAAGAAAAAAGTGATCAATACAATAGGATTGAAAAGGACAACTTAGTGATAGCCTAAACAACTTCACTGCAAAGAAAATGAAGACAGCGCGTGCTGGTTGATGATTCAAATAGTTTTTACGATGGAGTAGAAGTTACCGACATCTTGAACTGTTTGAAAGTTAAAATTGACTGATTGTTATGTGGAGTTTAACGTTCCAAAACCACCATTTGATTATAAGAGACACCGTAGTTGAGGGCTCCGGAAATTTCGACCACCAGGGGCTCTTTAACGAGCACCCAAATATGAGCACATGGGCCTGCAGCATTTTCGCCTCCATCGAAAATACAGCCGCTGCAGCCGGGATTTGATCCCGCGACATGCGGGTAAGCAGCCGAGTAACTTAGCCACTAGACCCCCGCGGCGGGGTAAAGTTAAAGTTCGGGTAGATTAGCATAAATTAGGTGAGCACAGGCACCTGATACCGACTTCCGTTTTCATGTTCTGTAGCCTATTGAGTATACCTTCGAAAAGTTAGCTTTATTGCATATACATTCAGCCACCCAATTTTTGGACTACCTCGCTTAGTAGGTACGCGCCATGAATAACTGATCAATATCATGATCATGATTGGGATGATGATCATTGTGATTCTGCTTGAGACGCTGAACTACTGTCATCCATTGGGACTCTCGGCCATGGTCATCTGCCTCTCAATTTCGAACGCAACCGATTGGCAGTTAATCACGATTTTTTTACGGAGGCTTTAATGGTTGCAGGTGGTCTTATGTAACATTGTCTACAGTATGGGGACTGACGCCCGATATTATAAACAACGCCTCCGCTATTTTATCAATGCCAGCCAGATACATCCGATCAAGCTGTTCATAGCCCTTTCCCGCTCTCTCTCATCGCTTAGCCTTCTGCTGAGCTTTGCGGTCATGGAGGAGGGTAGCCCCTCATGCAGTGCCTCATGACGGAAATCACAGGAAGTAATTTTTTGCTCAGTTGTGTACAGATTCGTGGTGCGGCGTCTTGCATTCCCTGTGTTCACAATATTGACAGTCACCCTGGCTCTGTGAAATATACGGTGTTTTGAGGTAGCGTGTCACCATTGGTGGCGCTATGCGGGAAACCAATGGGGAAGCGTCACTGCGACGTTTCTGCATGAGCTGCGCGGTGACGCGGCGGTGGCATTGTCTCGAGCCAGAAAGAAGCAGCATGAAGGTGCGAATGTGACAAACCTATGATATTAGTGTGGGAAACGCGTATATCGCATCTCGGAGGAAACCACTGGGGCGCACCCCAGCGCGACCCCTCATATAGCGCATCATCACGACCACTCCTTGAATTAAGGCGGACCGATGGCGCCCATTGAGAAGCATGCGTTTTCTTTGGCATTGATATAAAGGATGCGTTGTTATAGACAATGGTAGGAGAGGGAATCGTTGGAGAAAAGGAAAGGTGGCTCTACTTCTGCAGCCCCCTTGGTTCATTTAACGATTTTTCTAAGAACCAACCAACTAACCAATTAAATCACAGCCTGGTACCACAAGACATAGAGTAAGAGAATGACATGATAGAAGGCAAAAGAGGACGCAAGATGTCGACCAGAGACCATCTAGCCGCTGTATGGTAAACGTGAGGGAAAAGTATCGCAGTACCACAGCCGTTCTTATGTCATTGTGCTCACAATCTTTTCATCGAGATGTCATAGATGCGACAATAACTGTGAGCAAGAAACGATAAGAAATATTGACACCAGCATGCAGAGAAAACAGGCAAAACATGTGCATTGTCATAGTATTTCGGGCAGCCATTGTAGTGTTTTTTTCATGACCGTTCCTATAAACTAGCAGAATGAAGAAGCAGACACACGGCCGGCTTGCTACCCTGCATTAGGTGAAGGGATGAATAAAATAATGAAAGGGAGAGTGAGATCGAAGACCAGCCGGGCTTGATGTTGACGGTAATGGAAGTATATGCAGCAGCATGTTCCACAGCTCATGTGAACGCCAGATACCATTGGGGCTCTGAATCTGGTTTCACTGAATCGTGTGCAGACGACACCGCAACAGAGAAAGCCTCGCAGAGGCTTTGTACAACTACAATGAGTCGAGTCAAAAGTTGATTTAATGCTTCAGCGTGAAGGCGTGCACACCCTTTCGCAGGCGCTCGCTGTTACGCTTGCCGGCGGACGGGCACTTCCATTCCTCCACACGTGTGTCCCCTACACGTTAAGCTCCAGCAGCCCGCGGATTCGAATCCTCGCCTGTCACGAATCGCATATATGTAAATCTCGGCTTGCCGGAAGTGGTACCGGAGCAGCTACACGCCAACGGCGTGGACCCTAAATAAAAAAGAAAAAGCTATCCAATAGACGGCTCTCGCACCGCGTTCGGCAACCAACACACGTGTTTACCAAATGGTAAATTTCTCACAAGCCCCCCTCTTTTTTTCAGCCTACTTTTCAATTCAGTCGAGTGTATTTACAGCACGGATTTCGAGCGGAGGAGCTCTGCGTAGTAGCCAGCCATCGAGACGACGTCTCCGTGCAAACCTCGCCGGCGCGTGGTCCGGAAAGGGACACTTCCGTCTCATCAGTGGCCGTAAATCCGACCCTGACTCCGGCCTCACGACGACGAAAGGCCGGCGGCCCACTGTGAGCGTCAGAGAATAGCACGACCATCCACATCACGAACGGCGTAGTACGGGAAGCGCCGCTGCCTCAAAGAGAGCGGCGTCGGCGAGGTTACGGGCAAATCGTGTTCCGCCGAGACTCATTAGAAGACGCGAGGTCGTCAAGCCAGCGCCTCTCTCCGCGGCATCGGCACGCTCCGTCTTTAAATGGCTACCGTTGGGCACCTCCCGCTGTCTCCGCGGACATCAATCTCTTTTATTACTATTCCGTTTATTTCTTTTTTCTGTAGGTTACTTAAACGTTCGCGGTATGAAATCTTTCTACCAACCTTTTTTTGCCCTCTCAAATGTGCGCACAGCTAGCCAACTTCCTTCCCTTTTGTTTCCACTCTCCTGTCCACTGCATACGTGCTACGAGTAGCTAAAACCTCGTGCAGTAACGGTTATGAAGACGCGCAAACTGACCTCGGCCAATCATGACCGAGCACTAGTATTGGTCGGGTAAATTGGCGATAACGTTGCTTGTTCTACACTTAGTGGGCAGATCACGCAGACTGCACATAACAGCGGTGAACTTCCCGCGAAGCCAGCGAAGGTTCGAGAGTGCGATAACCTCTGGGTCTGCCGAGCGACTCGACAGCTCCCAACAGCGCTGCACCGTATTAACGCAAAGGGAAAGGACATGCACTTCCACTCCCTCTCCAAGAGCGAGAGCCCCGTGCGGGACCAAAACCTGGCGGCCCAGCTGTCACGCAAGAAGCGCCGCGCGCTGTTTAGGAGACTCGTCACGAATAGCCATAAAAACGGCCGCCCTGCCCCCCACGATGCAGCGGCGTCGTCAGACGGAGCGAACGCTGACACAATCAACGTGCGGCGCCGAGAGGCCTGCCAAAATCGGGACGCAGCCGCGGGCGAGCAGGTGAGTTGTGGGTGGGCGCGCGCGCGCGCACTCTGGGCGCGATCACAACACACGCGCCTCAACACGCGCTCGCAGCCAGAAGAGGCGAGCTTGCCAGAGCTCCAGTGGAGGATTAAGAAGACGCACATCTTGTACCCGCATCCCGCTTTTCTTATTGTGGACTGTTCTTTCGCTTATTTGTTGTTGCTCTTCTCTTTTGTTTACACAGCATCGACAATCGCGCGAATCTACACGAAGGAGGAGGTATAGCGAGAGAAAATCATTCACATTAATTTCCTAGGCGAGAGCGACGCGCGGCTGTTATTCCAGCGAAATCTCCCCCCACCACGTGACCCCAGTTCGATATGCCAGCTCTCGTTCAGCGCCACCGCTCCTAATGAACGGCATATAGCGGAAACTACGGCCCGTGACCACCTCTTCCTGAGCGAACTGCCTTGCTTATTGCAGCGAATCGCGAGCGTGAAGTTGTGAGCTGAGACAGCTGAGGCGAAGTACGAACAAGGTATGGAACATATGCGCACATCTTTTACATATGTATGTGATGATTCAAACATTTTCTCGAACTTATTTGTGCCATCGGAGCTTTCCGTTGAGGAGACGGCAACTTCACTTAATCCACACAGCTGTCGTAGCTACGGCGTAATCCCATTCTTTATCCAAGCTCTCAATTAAAGCTCTCTTAGGATAGGCTCCGAAGTTCTACAGGCTCTTATTCAAGTGATTTCCTTACGACTTGAACCAACTGTGCTGAGTTTCACAAGGCCGCTTGTATATACACAGAAGCAGCACGTTCTGCGCTATCGCAGACCTCCTAGAAGAAAACTTCACGGATGCATTTAACTACAAATGAGCGTCGTTCACTACTTCCACCTTCGCTGCTTTCAACTTTAGCCAACGCTGAAAAAAAAAGTGCTGTTAACAAAAAAAACTATTCCAGAAGCCCAAACAAAAGTAATCCGTGTTTAGGAAGCGGTCTACGAAAGTTAACTAGTTGTGACTGCTCTTTTGAAAACATTTGGGGTAATTTTCTTCCTTCTATGGAATAGTCTCCGCTGTTTGTGTGTGATATACTTGAAGCTCACCTCTGAAGGCGTGTGTTAAAAGGCTTTTTGCACTGATGGGGGCGCATCTTAAAGAAAAACGCATGCTAAATGGCATTTCCCGGTTGGGATCTGCTTGCATCACAATCAGCCGCTTATTTAGAAAAGAGGCTTCAAAACTGGGTGCTCTAAACATCTGTCTTGACTACGCGTCACCACTGTGAAAGCATTTATGTGCGATGTCCTATGCAAAAAAAAAAAAAACTGATTAAGCATTCAGAGTTTGCTCTTTATATTCACTGATAGTTACGGACTCTGAGATTTATTTTTATATATATACTGGGGAAATATTATTGCATACCAATACATGGACACTTAAGGCACAATTCTGTCGTCGCCGTCGCCGTGAGGTTTCACCTAAAGTCCCAGGGACAATAACATCAACCCGCGTGACGTATGTTCTATGATGTATGTGCGATAAAAAGCGTGGGATGCGCCGGCTCTTCGTCGCGCGAAAGCTACATAGTGGGTAAGCAGCGGAACCTGCGTACTTTAAATCACAACCTTAAATCACAAGGTGTGGTCGCGCGTGCACTATTTTAACAGAAATCATTACATATAGTCCATACCTTTGCACGTGCCGTGTTCAAACCACTGCGACTGCGCTGAATCAACAGACAGCACGAAGGTCACCGCACTCGTTGCAAAAGCCACGTTTCCTCACACCAGCATCTTGTTGAGTTAAGCTGCAGAGAATTGAAAGAGTTAGATGATATTCTCACTTCGTATAGCATTCCAATTTGCTGTCACCGCATTCGTTGCTTCGCCTTTGCGGCGAGGCTATGAGTTTGATATTATTACATTCGAAGCGCGGAAAATCAATACCAGATAGCTGAGGTAAGGTGCGGCCAATGTTCAGGCCAGCAGTATAGGAAGGAAAATAGAAGAAAAAGAACGGCAGGTAGGTTAACCGGACTATAGGCAGCCTGTTTGCTACCCTGCGCATAGGAGGGGAATGGGGGAGATGAAAGATAGAGAGGAGAGAGGGAAGAGAGATAAACACAGCACATTAGGCAGCACACGAGCGCACACTCAGTCATAGTCTAGTCTTGTCTTTTGGGGTGTGTGACATTGCTGTTACAGCCGCTTGTTCAAGTCCGTGTCGCGTAGGAATTTCAACAGAGCTTTTGTCGCCTTCTGTTGCATTGTCTTCTCTCGGGCACTTGACAGAATAGCGTTCAGAGACATTTGGCTGTTGTCGATGCGCGCAAGAACGGACACCAGTGACTGTCTCTGGATGTCATACAAAGGACAGTCGCACAGGATGTGGTGTAGCGTCTCTTCGCAATGACAGGCATCACAGAGAGCGTTGTCGGGCATTCATGTGACAAAGAAAATAAGGTTTTATAAATGCCACTCCAAGCAATAAGCGATGGAGAAGGGTGCCTCTTCGGTCGAGCCCTGTGGGCATGCGGAGAGCCATCAAAGAGGACAGGTGGGGTTGACAATTCGTCTTGTTGCTTGGTGGGCACCATGGTGAAAACGTGATTTCACGCGCAAGTCGTCGAAAATTACTGGCAGCATCGGTCCGCGAAAATGGTATGGCTTCTTCTCGTGTTTCTTCAAGAGCTGCCCGCGCGGCAGTATCGGCATGTTCGTTCCCTATGACGCCGCACTGACTTGGCACCCTCTGAAACGTCACATGATGCCCTTTCTCGTGTGAAGTGTGGAGAAGGCATCGAATTTCGAAAACGAGCTGTTCGTACGGCCCGCGACGCAGTGCTGAGAGCACAGATTGTAGGGCAGCCCTTGAGTCGCTGAAAATCAACCATTGTTGCGGTGGTTCCCGATTGACGACACAGAGTGCAGCGCGCAAAGCAGCTAGTCCCGCTGCTGTAGATGCCGTGGAGTGGTCAGTCCTAAAGTTCACAGTAACACCTCTTGCTGGGACAACTACTGCATCTGGCGAACACCGGCGGCTCGTACACATTTGTGTTAATTCCGTAACCCTAGCGTGTCACCCCATAGCTTTACAATGAATAGGACTATTAGCCATAGTCTTCAGATAGGGAATACCCGTGCCCTGCGTGGCCGGTGACTTCCCACACGCCGGATGAGTAATTGAATGTTGTTTCTCTCTCTCTCGAGTTCGTGCTATCCTCTCGTGTCGTCTATCCCTTTTTGTTTTCCTGCATTGCAATTCATGAATTCACCCAATCATTGCGATTTTTTTCCTCTTTTTTTTCGCAAACAAAAATTTTGTGAATTTTAGTTGGGGGGACGCATGACTCCATCGGTACTGATGCGCTCCAGAAACACAAAATCATTCACTTGTTTGTTTTTTTTTTCATCAAAAATACCACACTCAAAACTTAACCGAAGCAATCCATGTGCCGCCCGCACACCGTAAGAGGAGAGATTCTTGAATTGAAGGAGTGTGAAGGGTAGGCTCAAGACGCAGTAACTGTCTCTCAGGCGAGGACACCACAACCGCGACACTCGAGGGAGAAGAGGGGGAAAGGTGGGGGTGGGCCAAGCGCGTTCAAAAGGAAGAAGAAGGAGTGAGAGAGATGTCACGAGGGGAGGAGGGTGCTACTCTCCGAGAAGCCGCGAGCACATCCGAGAAAAACGGCACTGACCGAATCTCGCTTTGGCGTTCAGGTGCTCAGACCACGCTCTAACGCGCGCAGACATGCTTGTACAAACCGTAACGAAGAGCAGTGAGAGAGAGTGAAGAACGCGAGAAAGAGAAATAAACGAGTAAGCCGAGAAAAGACAAGCAAAGTACCAGGATCCCTGCTGAGATTCGGGTTCGCGACGAGCAAACTAGAGGTGTTTAATTGCATCGCCAACAGATGCTTTCCGCAGAAGCGTGCAGAGCGAATCGCATGCTAAGGCAAAAACCTGCAATATAAGCGAGAATAATAATAATAATAATAATAAAAAGACTGGTGAGGCTTAGGCTTGACAACAGAAGGACACGCACGAGGCGCCGCTTTGAGCGAACAGCAAAAATAAAACACAAATATGAGAGAATATGAGCAATGTGAAAGGAAAAGAGAGCAGATTTTCTTTCACGGTCGCGTGCACAAAGCAGGCTAAAACGAAAGAGGGAGAAGGAAAGGTGTGAGGAGGACGTCGTCGTAGATCTGTCGCGACAGCGTGTACGAGTGTGCACACAACCACGAATGAGTGAGCGAGTAAACGAGAGCGTTGGAGCTACAGGGCCGCGCCGGAGGCCACGTTGTGAACCAAAAGTTGTTCCGCAATAGTACCGTGCAGTAATATCGAGTGCTCTAAAAGTGAACGATGAAAGACTGTGTTTCTCCCCCCCCCCCCCCCCCAAAAAAAAAAAAAAAAAAAAGAGGCGGTGTTGTTTCCTTCGTAGAGAACAGACGGCCTGTTGAATGTTCGGCTCTTCTTATGCGCGGCCGTTAATACAGTGCCTGCGTTTATTGCGAAAGCAGCTTGCGAATGAGGCTAACTCACGGTACGTTCGAAGTCGTCTAAATTAGCGTTATGTGCGTGACTCTAACCGAACCACATCCGTCGATCAACTTTTCATAAATCCATATAGTGGCAATGTCGTTGACCATGAGTACCGAGATAAGAGGGAATAACTGAACGACATCTGTTTGGCGTTCGGTCTAGTTGATGTTGATTGTTTCAGTTGTGATGCATGTATACATGAGATGTTACGCACAAAAATAAAGCTGGCACAGTTTTAAACGGCAGCGGGACGTTGCATAATAAACGAACGACACTTCAAAACAGACACTTTGCAATACCGTGCAGAAATTTATGCGTCTGCTTTGAGCGTCATCTACTGTGCAGATAAATTCATCCGCGTGCCACTATCGGAAAAATATGCGAGGTACAGGCAACGGCTAAATCAGAGGCTGAATTCGCGATTATTTCAGCTCTTAAGAATAGTTCTAACGTTTTGCAAGCCTGGCCACA